CAGCGCAAGGAAAAAAACTTGTCAATGCATCGGGAAATTATCATTAACAAATACAGGTAAAAGATGAAAGCCTCAAAGTATTAATTTTTGTGTATATTAAGTATTAATTTTTGTGGTCAAAGTATTAAAATTTGCAGACTCCAGTCATTTTAGGCATGGAAGTTTTTAAAGGCCGCGAAGGCCAAACTGAATTTTCAGGAAAAATTCGATTATGCTGGAAATGGATCGGAGGGTGGTGGAGCCAGTGAAACAACCGCAAGTGGACCTTACCTTAGCCATTTGAATGAGTCCATGAAAGCCAAGCCATCCAGCAAGTGGTGAGTACTTTTTCAAAACTTGTTTTCAGAACGGCCTGGTAATCTGTCAAATTGTTACGCATGATATACAATTAACTGCCGACATAAACCCTGTAGGACTAAACCTTACCGGTATGATAAACAGAAAGAACAAATAATTGAAGAAAACACATTCAGGAAAATGTTGCAGAAGAATCAGATAATAACGCCCATAAATAGTGAGTACGCGAGTCCAGTCGTACTATGTAGGAAAAAGAACGAGTTTCCCTCCTTCGGATAAAAGGGCTTGGAGGTTTTGCTATCGATTACAGAAAACTTAATAGTGTTACTAAATTCCCAGTTTACCCTTTGCCGGTTATAGAGGAAATTATTAGAAAAATTAAGTCTACGAGATACATGACTACGTTGGACTTAACGTCTGGGCTACTATCAAATAGCTATGAGACCCGGAGACATACATAAAACCGCGTTTATCACAAAATCGGGCACTTATGCATTTTTACGCATGCCCTTTGGGTTGTGTGGGGCCCCATCAACATTCCAGAGAGCTATGGACATTGTTCTAAAGCCTGTCCTTGGAAAATCGACTTTAATCTATCTAGATGATATAATTATAACGAGTAGTACGTTGGAACAACATATTAAAGATTTAGAAGAGGTTTTTAAATTACTAAAAGAGGCCGGTCTTACAATTAACGCATCAAAATGCAAGTTCGCGACAAAAGAACTTAAATATCTGGGTTATAAAATTTCGCAAAAGGGTATAGAAACTCAAGATTCAAAAATAAAAGCCATCAAGAATTTCCCACCTCCCAACACCGCCAAGAAACTTTCTTTCTTTCCTTGGGTTATGTTCTTATTATCGGTCGTTCATAAAAAGATTTTGCGAACATTGTTGAACCCTTGTTAGTAATTAAAAGAAAGAAAAGTAAATTTACGTGGACAGCAGAAGGCAAATACTGCATTTGAAAGGTTAAAAGAAGCACTCATCAATGCCCCTGTTTTGAAATTCCCGGAAGGGACGAAAACCTGGAAATTGCAGCAGATGCGTCGGACTATGCCGTAGGTGCGGTTCTCATGCAAAAATGGGCCATTCTTTGGCATTTTTTAGTAAAACTTTAAACTCTACGCAAAGGAATTATACAGCTACGAAGAGAGACAAACATTAGCCGTATTAATGGCTGTACACAAATTTCGAGTTTATTTCGGCAAAGCGCCAGTAACAGTCTTTTCGGAATCATGCGGCTATTGGTAGAACTTTACTCGGGGGAAAAACCTAACGCCCAGGTTAATAAGATGGGCTTTAAAACTTCAAGAGTATAACCTCATAATTAAATATAAACCGGGTAAGGAAAACAATGTTAGCTTGACGCACTTATCTCGTATAAAACTGGACGATGAAGGCAATGAACTCAAATGCGCTGTGTTGACTATTTGTTTCTCTAGAATCTAAAATTTTTAGATTTTAGGTTCTAGAGAAACAATTATTGCTGAATTGAAAGCTGATCCTGAATTTGGAAGTATCTATGCGTATTTGAAAGACCCCGAAAGCTTTGGACACACATATATCGATGCAATAAGAAATAGAGCAGAAAACTGTGAAATAATAGATAATTTATTGTTTTATACGAAAGCAACAAACGAAAATTTCGAATATAAACCAGTCATCCCAGCCTCGCTTCGATTAAGCATTTTGAAGGAATTACACAACGCGAAAACAGCGGGTCATTTAGGGGTCAGAAAGACTTTAAAAAGGTTACGCGAGGCGGTATATTTCCCGCAATTATACAAAATAGTAACTGCGTACGTCAGGTCTTGCAATCAATGTCAGTTAATATGTGACCTTCGGTCACATTTAAGCTAATTTTGAAATCCTAAACATTACCGGCATTCACTACAATATTTTACCGCATTTAAAGCAATCATGCGTTCAATGAGACATCCCGAATCTGAAGCTTAAAATATTTATCTTATATCACTGAGATCTGTTTATAAATGTGGAGTGAACATTGTGTCAGGTTAAAATTATACACTATACTATAACATTAATTAAATTTCATATTAAATCCCTAGTGAAATACATGAGAATCTAAATTTTATAAAATTTTTTTTAATATTCAAGTAATAAAGAAGACTTAAAATCCATCAACGTCCAAAATCCACGCAACCTCTTCTGATACCAACTGATAAATGCGAGATGTTTTAGCAATTTCTAATGTCATTTCAGCATTATAGGTGACAGGTGTCTTCATTCCGTATTGAAGCTACCTGCCACGTTCTACTAATTACAGCTTTTATAGCTGTAATCAAATAAATATATTTTGCCAAATATCGCTAAATTTGTACCCATAGTTGAAGATTTATCATCAGCTAATTTTAGTTAAGCAAAAATGCTATCATTGAAATTTTGGTGGTGTTTTGTTATTCGAGAAGAAGATAAAATATACACAAGTAATAACGAAGTTATATCTTGAACTGCGCAAAAGATTGTGAAAAAATTGCAACCAAAAGATGGTAAAACATTAAACCATTATTTCATGTTTTCAATGAACCATTATTTTGTGATATGTTGAACCATAAATTGGCAATACATTGAACCAAGGATGGGAAATGTTGAATCATAAATTGGGAATACGTTAAGTGGACTATATTACAATATGAATTGAGAATACTTTAAACCATCAATTATAATTATGCTTAGTATTAACTGTAATTATTTTGCGATGTTAACTGTAAATTATAGGAAGTTATTTGAGAGCTCAGGCATAAAATTTATATTAATCACTTTCTGGTATTTTTTGTTCAGTTACTGCTATGGATCCTTTTCCTGGTATTTTTTTATTATTATTATTATTATTCATTACTGCTATGGGTAAGCAATCTGGAAGTTGCTTATGCAAATCAGCATATCTATAGCATTAATTATTGACAATTTGGCTAGCATAGCAATCTGGTTTATTTGCATAAAATTATGATTCAGTTTTGAGAGAGTGAAATTATGAAATATGTGTCATTAAAATACATGCCTGCAATATATTAGCATGTATATAAAAATTTATTTTTACAAAACTGAATGCCTTACACACCAATAGAAATAAGCTAAAATATAACTGCTCATTGCAAGACCTAAATTTTAATAAAAATTTCTGTCTGGTATACCTTTACTTTTTGTAAATTAAATTTCATTTATTATTATTATTACCTTTGTTGTTTAATTCCACCATGCTCCATGCATTAGAAAAGCACATTTAACATACTCATGAAACTTTCTTAAATCATTTTCATACAAGTTTCTTGTTTTTTATTTTTTTACATCCTCTTGTGAAAAAATCTGTAAACTAGCAGCTTTTTGTTTAATATTATCCCATTACTTAAAAAAATTCTAATGATTTATTACAGTTTGTCTTGACAACAATCTTTCAGCAGTACAACTAAATCATAGCTTTTATCTCATACTGATTTGCTATTCTACAGACATACATAGCTTTCAGATAGCTTAGATTTAAGCTCTCCTTATTCAAACTCACAACAAAAATTGCTTTCTCATGATAAAATTGAAATTATACATTGTTTCTAATGTATAATTAACAGATATTCAGCTGCTTACTATTATAGTATATAAAAAATTACTCTAAGCAAAATTCTTATTTTCAATGACATTCCATGACACTTACCTTTAAAATTTGGAGACTCTGTAGAAGTGTTTGCCAGGATCTGTAAAGTTTCCCTTGTCCCCTCCCCACACAAAAACAAGTTTTACTTAAAGTTTTTTTCATCACAAGCCTCTAAACCATAAAGATTTTTTTAAATTTTCATTTATGGTAATTTTTAATTTACGATATATTAAAATGTATTATGAAGCATGATAAATTATAATATTTATTCACGTATACAATAATGAAAATTTTCCAAAGCTGTTCAAATTGTTCAATTTATTAAAAGCAAATTCTATTTTTCTGAAGATTAAACATATCTCTTAGTAACATGTTATGTAAAAAGGAAAACATTTCATATAAAATAAGTGAGAGAAAAAATATAAGCTTAAAATTAAGATCTCAAATCGTTAATGAAGAACATAATTAAATCAACATACACGAATTTTGTGCAACTGCTACATAAGAAAATTAATTACTGAAGAAATATTTTATGCTAAATATTATACACACATACATGTAATCTTTAATAAATTATATCACTTATATTGGGTTTAAGAAATTTAATTTAACAACATGAAACTAGTCCACATATTTCTCTCCCTTCTTGGCCTGCCTTCCTGGTGTGATGGTCTGCACGCTGGGCGCGTATTCCAGAGATCCGCGGTTCGATTCCCGGTGAAGGCGTTTGCTCATTTTTCATCTTTCCTGCTCCCAATTAACCTAATGTCTCTAGAATATTAGCTGTCAAATGATTATGTATATTTTAATCATTATTTTTCCGAATTTAATAACAAGTACTTCTGAATAATTAGAATACATTGTTATGCTTATATAGAAACCGGATATACATCAAAAACATTTTTCTAACTTGAAAATTTTAATTTTATGAAATAAATAAGGTATACTTAATTGTAAAGTATATGTGATTTTCAATTTTAAATAATATTAACAGAAAGCATTTCGCAGGCTCCCTTTCCGAAATATTTTAACAAATAAATCTCAGAAAGCACACATGTATGCAGCAGTCATTTTAATACATTTGTGAAAAGTTTCCTGAAATTTCTATAGGGTATTTAACAGCACCATCAAACCAAATTTAGAATTTTTTAATCAATGATTTAATTTCAGTAGTCTTACAGTTAGTTCTTGCTGTTCATGATCATTAGAAGAGACATACAAACAACGCATGGTATTCAATATTAGATCTCAATCTCAAATTACGGTGCAGCTCATTAATGCACCACTTGGTGACTGGTCCACTTTATGTAAATTCTGATGTTGAATGGATATCGATGCAGTCTTGAGGTGCACAGGGTCATGAGGTCACAATCAGTGGTTGACACTCTTGGGCATGTTCTAGTAGACCATCTTTTAGATCCTGATCGTAGTTCTTTTTCAACAACAGGGGGAACCTAGAAAAAGAAGCATTAATACATAATATCATGCATTATCTAAACTATTATTTTTATAATTATTTTTTGTTTCATAATTCTCATTCCCGTAACGTGACTGATGTTACCATTATAATTTATAACAATAATTATGTAATATCAACACAAGAATACATGACAAAAATAACAACAGCATCATAATATATTAAATTTAATTAATGAAAACATATATTCATTTTAATGAATTATTTGGATATAGCAAGCCAATTGATTTCTATCTGACCAAGGGTACATGTGCTTTCGTGGAGAAACTGAGTTGCATTCCTGTTAGATATAGATAAAACCAAACTTGAAGACAGTCCGTTTTCGTGGATTCAACACCGGGTCAAACTACTAGTGCTAAACAGCTCAAGATAGTAATATTTTATTTCTAATGAATAACTATAAAAGGAACAAAAACATAAAAAAGGGAAGCTGTATTAAAAACAATTTTTGTCAAATACTGCGGCTGAACATCAAATATTTTGGTGACCGAATATCAATATTTTGATATATTTAAGTTTCTTTTTAAGGGTATTTTTTTACTATCCCCAAACCCACCAAAGAAGCACAAAAATACACTGATAAGGCAATGCATCATGCCTCCAAAAAACATTTATATCGCAAAGTGTTTATGTACTTGTTATGAAAATGTGCTGGTAAAGCGTACAGTCCACGGTCTGTTTTAGTACAATATGCCGTCTACAGGTATTTAATATATATATATATATATAATATATATATATATATATATATATATATATATATATATATTTACACACCTTATTTTATTAATATGTGTACTAAAGGTACATTTATTAAAAATACACAATTATAAGAAATACAAAACATTAAGAAAATTAGATTTATCATATGCTATAGCGGCTCCAAAGTGTTTATTCTATTATTATAAGCCTACAATGTTGCCAAGTATATTTATATGACCCATGCCAGCCCCAAATGGCTTTCCAGACATTTCGCTGTACAACGGCAGATTACGATATCTCCTATGAGAATTTTAGCATTTTAGCGTAGCGCTGAACCGCATACTGCAGTTTTCATCATCTTCGGCGAAATCTCAGACTTAACTTTCTTGCACGCATATAGCACATTGATGCTTGCTTAAAGGCATAATGTGCCTTTTTTTATCTTCGTGTGTGTTATTTTAGGATTTTGATGTCATGGTTGTTCAAAGTGTTAAGTTTCTGGAATTTTCTGATGCTTTCTTCACTGAAAGCAGATAGCTATGTACGTGAAAACACATACACCTCAGATAATGAAGGCTCATCCGGTGGCTGACTCAAATAACACATCACAGACAAACAAAGATTACGACCGAAGAACTGGGATGGAGAATAGCCTTTAGTCTCGTGGACAGCACTGCAGAAACCAGTAAAAGTAGAGATAATTTTTGTCCTAGTTTTATTTCTTTCTGAAAACCACCAGCGAGAGGTTATTAAGGATAGTTCGATTAAACCTCTTCACCCTACTGTCTAACTGCGGATGTAAATATGGGATCGTATGGGTTTTATCGATATGAGTGATTTACTGCGAGCCTCGAAATCGATTTACTGCGAGCCTCGAAAATGCGAGCCTCGAAAAGCCTCGAAATCCTCGAAATCGCTCGAAATGGCAACGAAGATTTATTCGTTGCCATTAGCAGTTCGTGGCAAAGTCCCCAGGATCTCAAAGGCGATACATTCAAAAGACGATCTTACATTGTAAAGTTGTAGCTTCCCTCGACTGCATTTCTTCTGTCCTTTCCTACCCGCGCAAGCATCGCCTGATTGGAACCAATTTTGCAAGTCAACCTTTCCATTACTCCAGTAGAAGCACTCTCAAACTCTCTGCAAAGTCTTCATTATTCCGAAAAGGCCTCCTATGGGGCTCCTCTATTGTTCTTCAAGGACGTACGGGATGCGAGACCATGGAAGTATAGTAAGGATTTTAAGTTTTACTAACGTTTATTTTATTTTAAAACTTTACTACCCTCTCTTATTTTCCATTTCCGGCCACAATGAATGCGAACGGGTTCGGTTATGCAAATTGAGCTTGCAAACTAAGTATAACTTAAGTATTTAAATTGTGGCTTTTAACCAAGAGAGAGAAAGAGACTTCTAGCTACCTTACCTCGCCGCGCGCTTTTCAGTCAGTTGCTGTCTGCCTTTGAGGCCAGAATTTAGTTATCTTTGATACTTGAAGACGTATTGTAGTTTCCCTCATTCTGCTCAGTACATACGTAAAGTTGATGTCACCAGTGATAATCTGAAACAGTATATCAAAGACTTAAGAGAGGTGTTTTCGTTTTTAAATGAGGCCGGTCTAAAAGTTAATATTGATAAGAATAAATTTGCAGCAAATTAATTACGTTATTTGGGGTATAAAATTTCCCAGAAAAGAATTGAAACAGATAAATCAAAAATAATTGCCATTCAAAATTACCCGCCGCCAAATACTGCGAAAAAATTATCTCCTTATCTAGGAATGTGTTCATGCTACAGATCCTTTACAAAGGATTTCGCAATTATTGCCGAACCACTATTAAACTTAAAACGAAAGAAGGAAAGATTCTCTTGGATAGCCGAAGCTAACACCGCTTTTGAAAAAATAAAACAAGAGTTAAGAGATTGCGGCAGACTCGTCGTATTACGCCGTAGGGGTGGTGCTTTCCCAAAATGGGCAGCCCCCGGCACTCTTTAGACGTGCTTTAAATGACACTCAAAGGAATTCGGCCACTGAAAGAGAAACACTGGCCGTACTATTAGCAGTTCAAAAGTTCCGAATCTATTATTGAAGTTCTCCGGGAACAGTCTATTCCGATCATGTGGCGGTCGCTAGATTATACTCGGGGAAGAACTTATCCCCAATGCTAATATGATGGGCAATTAAACTATAAGAATATAACTTGATAATTTAACACACGCCGGGAAAGGAAAACATTCTAACAGATGCTTGTCAAGAATTAAAATAGATGAAAATGGTAACCCAGTTAAAGTGGCAATGCTCACATCACAAATAATAGACTCCGTGAAGCCATAATAGTCGAACTGGGCAAAGATTCTGAATTTAAAAATATATATAATTATTTAAGAGATTTCGAAAATTTTAATCAACAGGATATTGTGGCGATAAGAAATAAGGCGGCTCACTACGAACTGATATATGAATTGTTATTTTATACGAAGACTACGAATAATAACCATGAATTTCGACCGATTATCCCAGCTAGTCTTAGATTAAATATATTAGAGAAATTACATGATTCGCCTATTTCAGACCATCTTGGCATTCGGAAAACTGTCCAACGCTTACGCGAAGCAATTTGGTTTCCTTAAAATGCAAAAATTAACAAGGACGTATGTCCAGTCCAACATGCCAATTAGTTTCTGCCCGGCCGGGTTTTTAAATAGCATTAAATCACAATTTCAAAATGAAATAATAGGCATCGATTTATTGGGTCCTTTTCCTAAAAGTCAGTTAAATAAAATTCATCTCCTCGTTATGGTCGACCATTTTAGTAAGTCAACGGAAATTGTTACTCTGGAACGAGCCTCCGTGAAAATAGTTACAGATTCTATCTTAAATAAATATATTTTAAAATACGGAGAGCCCCTAAAAGTTAGATCGGCTAATGGTCCCCAGTTTATTGGTAATATTTTTAAAGACGCGGGCGAAAAACTGGGCATACGTCATTTAAAAATGGTCCCGAATCGCCCGCAATCAAATATAACGGAAAGGGTCAATATAAACATAGTTAAAATTTTTCGTAGTTACGTTAAAAATGTTCATAAAAGCTGGGATAACCGTATCAGACTTAACTCTTCCGACTGCCAAACACGACGACACGACTGGCAAAAGACCTGCTGAGTTGTTTTGGGGTTGAAAAATTATAACACCGTTGGATAAATTGTTTTATGTTCAGAAAAGGTCCCCTGAATTTGAAATGTCAGATATACAAATTAATCGATGAGGTGAAAGAAAACTCCGAAGTCTTTCAGAAAACAAAAATTTTACTATGACAAGAAAAGACGGGAAGTAACTTATAATGTGGAGGATGAAGTTTTAAAGATTAAGCACTCTATTTCCTCAGCTCCAGAAGATAAAGTGGCTACATTCTGTTCACGGTTTGAAGGGCCATTTTTCGTTGAGAAAATAACTCAGGCAGTGGTGGTTTTAAGAGCCAAGAATGGTGAGAAAATTACGGAAAATATCGATTAAATCCAGCTGTATTACAGTCGCAATAAAATGAAAATACTTGAAGACCTTTTGCAGGATCCAGCACCGCAGGCACCCTCTCAAGAAATGGCACGACAACAACCGCCAGAGCCATCGACAAGTACGGATAGAGGCCGGAAAAGAAAAACTCCCGACAGAGAAGCAGAGGCAACAGGAAGGGTAAAGTAGCCTCCCTTACAAGAAAAGAGAAGTCATGATCAGATCCAACAGGATGAAATGAGGAATTCTAGCAGTAATAAGCGGGCAAGAGGAAGTGACCGGAGCCATACAACCGGCAAAGAAAAGGAAAAGCAAACCGGCTGAAGAAAATATCCGAAGCTTCATCCTTGGAATGCAGTTCCAAACCCAAGGCAGGACGGTAATCCAGATCAGCGAGCAGCCAGGATACGGCAACAATGAACCAGAGATGTGCCGATGACTCCAAGGATACCGCCCACTAAGCGAACATTACAGCAACCAACTGACAAGAAGAAGCTCTTCAAGGGTCAAGGCACACGGCCAAAACGAAAATGACAGATTGAGGCGTCTGATGTTCAGTCCCGAGCATGACGTCGATTGAACCAGACCACAGTCTTCGTAACTTTCCAGGAATGGGGGACAAAACGCATGGCTGAATATCAGAAAAGATATGTAAAACTTTCTGTTACTTTACCGAGTTAATTTTTCGTTCTTTACTACAAATGGCAGAACTTAGAAATTTTTACCTCAAGTGAGGTCAAGTTTTGAGAAAACAGGCGAGATATGATTTTTACTTATTTTTACTATGTTTTCAATTACTCGCGAGTAATCTAAAAATATTGTGTAAAAGTAATGTACAAGTACTCGAATAGTATAAAAGCTTTGTAACAGCATAGTAAAAGTACTTTAACAATATTTGTAAAAGTATTGTATAAAGTTTTATTGAAATGCTCTGTTAAGAAAAGACATTTTAGTCTGAAGGACTTCTATGGAAATGAAATGTAGTATTTAAATATAAAAGAAAGAGAGAAGAAATTAAGAAGAAAATTAAGAAATTAAATTGAATAGATTAATTAAGTAACCGACCTCGTTCGAAGGACGTTTTTCAAAATGTTTGTTATATTTTTGAATTTAAGTGATTTTTTAATGAATTGTACTCAAACTTAAATGTAATCACTGCAAAAGAGATAAAAAAATCATTATTTTGGGAAATGTACTCAAAAAACTGAAAATTTTATATCAAAATTAATAAAAATATCAACCATCACTGACAAGAAAATATTGTTGATAAAAATTTAAATTTGGCTTTATTTTATACATACTACTTAGAAACATGTATTGAACCAGAATAATTTGAAAATATTGATTCACTAGCAAAATATGATCAAATATATCAGTAAACACTAATTTTTCTTAAAAAATACACACGCTATTGAAGAAAAAAATGATGTAACTTAAATTCTATGGGATTAATTTTTTAACTGCTAGTCTACATTATGCATAATAATGTATAAAACGTGTGTGCAAAATTTCAAGTGATAATGAACTTTTAGAGTTATCATGGTTGTCGTGAACAGAAATCATGAAAAAAACAACTAATCAAAAATCACGTTTAAAGTTTTCAGATTGTTACATGACATTATATACAAAAATATTCACTATAAAATGCTTCCTGCATTATATGTGACAAAGTGAGAGTATAACATTTAAAAGAATAGAAACCTCAACGTTATGATTGCCTTTTAGTTAATTCATCCCAATCACTTTTTTTCATTTGCAATAAATGTTCCAGATAATTTCATAGACAGATGTTTCAGTTTCATTGTGATTACCAGCATCAGCAGTTACATATTTTGTGTATCAGTCGCTGTATAATTTTCGCTTTTTTTAATGACTACGTATAAATTTTGGAATTCTCCAACTTTCGATTACTAAACAGAATTAAAAAACGTGCAGAAAAATGAATCTTTAGCTGATAAATTAGTGCAGGAAATTTGTACATAAAACCGAAATCTCAATGTAAACAAAACAATAAGTTTGAAACGTTGTTGCCAAACGTAAAAGAGAAAATACATAATGAAAATACTTTGCCAGATTCTCCAAACATATCGAAAGGCTTAAAATTATTTAATTTATATATAACACAGAAAAAGTGGAAGTTGCACCTTTAATTTGTCCTTTAAACTTTAACTTCCGGTGTGGCAGACAGTTACTTCCGGTCTGTTGTATCTCAGAAAAACGGGTATATCTCCACTTTTAATCAACATATCAAGAAGAGAAATGCTGTTTTCGATAGCTAAGAGTATAGCCTTAAAAAATATTAAATTTTTTTAAAAAAATGAGTTTTTCTGTCGAAATCGGTCTTTTGAACGAGGTGGGTTACCTTAAATTGAAGAAATTAATTAATAATTAATTAAATTGAGGAGAAGAAAATTAACAAAACATTTTGTTACTACTGTATGTTTTGGAAATGTTTAAAATTAATGAGATGTTAATGTGTTCTTAAGTAAATGTGAACTGTTCTCTTAAGATTTAGAAGCACTTTGATATGTTAAAAGTGAAAGTATTGTATAAATGCAAGAGTTTAAAACTTAGAATTTAAATTACAAGCATAATAGTATGACTGAAAATAGCGCTATGCATTGTAAATGTGTGCTAAATATTGAATGAATGAATGAATGTAGATTAGGCTCTCTGACGCTACACTTGAGAGTTAGCTCACCACCTCTTCAGAGTAGTACCTCAGGGTTTCGAGCTGATTGTAAGGCGTGTTCTGAGGTCTTGATATGTCGATTTTTAACACGTTAGTGTTATGGTGGTAGGCGGTAGTGTTGAACACTTCTACATATACATGCCCGTGTTGGATATTTCTGTTTTTTACAACACATGTCAGAGAGCATGGGGAGATAATTAAATAAAAGTATGAATGAAATAAATAAATCGAGAATAGCGCACTTCTAAAAGAAACGTGTTCATGCAATTTGCCATCAACTAAAATGCTGCAACAAAATTACTAAAATAGTTTTTTTTTTTTTTTTTTTTTTTTTTTCCAGATCTCTGGAAGGAGCCAGATAAATGAAAAGAAAAATTCTATTTTTAGATTCAAGTACAGATGAAGAATTTTTGTGTTCAGAGAATGTCTTCATGTACATACTACATAGATAACTTTTAGGTTAGAGATAGTAGTTTTAGGTTAGAATGGTTGTAAGGATTGGCCTCGCCAAGAGAGAGAAAGAGAGACTTCTCGCTACCTTACCTTGCCGCTCGCTTTTCGGTCAGTTGCTGTCTGCCTTTGAGGCCAAGTTCTCTTGGATACTTGAAGCCGTATTGTAGATTCTCGCATTCTGCTCACTATATACGCAAAGTTTAAATAACCAATCTTCGCTTTACTAGTCTTTGTTAGAAATTAGAATTGAATATGCTCAACAAGGTCATTTAGACCAAAGTTTCGAACTATGCAATCCTGGTAGGAAGTATGTAAAGATTTTAAATTTTCCTAACGTTTATTTTATTTTAAAACTTTGCTTTCTCTTATTTTCCATTTCAGGCCAAAATAAACGCGAACAGATTTGGTTACACAAATTGAGTTTCCAAAACTGTTAAGTATTTAAATTGCGGCTGTTAGCCAAGAGAGAGAAAGAGAGACTTCTCGCTACCTTACCTTGCCGCTCGCTTTTCGGTCAGTTGCTGTCTGCCTTTGAGGCCAAGTTCTCTTGAATACTTGAAGCCGTATTGTAGATTCTCGCATTCTGCTCACTATATACGCAAAGTTTAAATAGCCAATCTTCGCTTTACTAGTCTTTGTAAAGTATCTGAGTTTAGTTCTTATTTAATTAAAATAGTTTTAGTTCTTATTTTTCACGTTTCAGACCATAAATACTGGTCTTTGCATCCCGAAGTGCGGGATCGGCTGTAAACTGTGGAAAATAAAGGATAATTAAACTTTTCCCATTTGTGTCGTATCTTCTACACTTGCACAAACATAGTTAAGTAAACTCCCTGTTCTTACTCAGGACTCCAGTTATGTTTGCAAACACAATTAGAAGAAATAGAAGTCTTGATACGAGGCGTATTCGGAAACTAAGTACCGTTTTGAAAAAAAAATAGTAAAACAATTATTTCGAATCCAATTTTATTTTTACATGAAAATACATGTCTTAAACTATTTTTCAACATAGTTTCCGCCAATGATCAAACACTTGTCATAGCGGGTGACCAGTTTTTGTATACCATCGTCAAAGAAACTTCCCTCCAGTTTCGATAACCACGACTCCACAGCATTTTTCGTGTCATCGTCAGATCCAAAGCGCTTGCCACCAAGCTCGCGCTTCATGTGCAGGAACAAGAGATAGTCGGACGGCGCCAAGTCCGGGCTGTACGGGGGGTGATCGAACTGCTCCCAATGAAACTGTCGAATTAACGATTGAGTGACACCAGCAGTATGGGGCCGAGCATTGTCATGGAGCAACACAATTCCTTTACTGAGCATTCCTCTTCCTTTGTTTTGAATGGCACGCCTTAGTTTTGTTAAAGTCTCACAATATGGTGCCGCATTAATGGTTTCATCTCTGGGAAGAAATTCAGTAAGCAAAACGCCTTTCCTATCCCAGAAGACAGTGCACATGATTTTTTGTGATGACATTGTCACTTTGAACTTTTGTTTTTTCGGAGAATGAGTGTCTCCACTCCATCGATTGTTGTTTCGATTCTGGTGTGAAATGACACACACTAGTTTCATCACCTGTCACAATTTGGTTTTAAAAAGTTTTCTCCCTCATCACTGTACCGCGTGAGAAATGTCATGGCACTACCAAGTCGCTTTGTTTTGTGAAAATCAGTGAGCATTTTTGGAACCCATCGGGAACACAGTTTGCGATAATTCAAGCGGTCAGACACAATTTCGAACAAAACAGTACGTGAAATTTGTGGAAATGCCTCCGAAAGAGTTGTCATTGTGAAGCGTCTGTACTCATGAATTGCTTCATCAACTTTCCTTACCAAATCATCGCTGACAACAGAAGGCCGACCACTCCGATCCTCGGCGTGGACATTTGTTAGACCTGGATTAAACATTCTTAACCAGTTTCTCACCATTCCATCACTTATCGCGTATTCACCGTAAACTTCTGTCACTTGACGATAAATTTCGGCCGGTTTTAACATTCCTCGCGTTCAAAAATTTAATCACGGCACGAATCTCACAGTCAGCGGGAGAACTAATTGTCTTAAACATTTCGAATATGCACAGCAAACTGAAAACACAACATAGAGCAACCAAAATGGCAACAATTGAAAGTCACTGAAAAAGAAAGACTAGTGCGCATGCGCGGGACGCCTACACAGCGCTGCGACGGCGCTAGAATGAAACGGTACTTAGTTTCCGAATACGCTACATATTATCAGCTACCATTTGAATGCCTTTCCATCATCTGATTCGAACCTTCGGTACATATAGAGGGAGTCCCAAAAATCACAGTATTTTTAGAACTACAGGTCGAAATGTCCTGCCAGCTAGTATTTCTTTTTGAAGACTCCATTAAGTGAATTATGGCTTTAATATCGTCGTCTTCCAAGTGGTCTTTTCTGACATTTTTGTCATTGCATGGGTCTGGGTCAGACGATGTTGAATTCGTAACTTGACGTATGATCGGATTAAGAAACTCGTATTCCGCTTACACCCAGGAACAATATCGCGAGGTTTCAGGGCAGAGTCTCCTGGGCAGGGTATCAGCCTTTCCATGCGATGGTCGCTTCCGAACACGAATAGTGATGTTATATTCTTCCAGTCCTTGTATCTAGCTATTGTGTCCTCGGGATTTTTGAAATTTGATAACCAGTTCAACGATACATGATCTCTTCGTAGGAGGAATTTTCTGCTGTAGAGGTTAATGGTGGAAAAGTTCTACGATGGCGAAGAATTCCTGGTGAAACAGTAATTCCTCTCCGAGTTAGATAAACACTTTCTTACTTTCTTCAGTATGCCACGACATGTTGTTGACCGTTTATCTGTTGAAACAAAACAGCACCGACACTCTCAAGGCCCGTCCACACAAGTACGTTCGCGAAGTAGTTGCCGCTATTTTTTTTTCGCCTGCGTAAATTCGCATTACGCAGAGGACGTAATCCTGAGTTCGCTCGAGTTCAGCTTTTTCGCCCGCTACGTAAATGAACAGCCTATAGCTGACTGAGTACCTATCACGTGTCAGAATCGGAAAAAAAAGTCTAAATATATGGTGCCAGAACTGCATAGCGACGATTTTTTTAAAGACATCGTAATTGTCCACAGGGATAAAATAATCAACATTGTTTACAGCATCCTCAATTCTCTCAAACCATGCAGATTGGTATAAATTTCAAATTCTCATTAAATGGAAA